CAACTTGGGCCAGTGAAGCAACGTCCTCCACAACTAGACTGAAGAACAAAACGACAGCAACTTATCTGTTCCCCTTCCCCCAATTCCCCAGCGCTGTGCCCATCCCCCAATTCCCTAATAAAAACCTTTAAAAAAAGGTAAAAATAAATAAATAAATAAATAAATAGTAAACTAAAAACTCTAAAAATTGGTCTACTGCTGTATTGGAGAGATTTAGGTTATGACAATTTTATTAGTCATTCTATTTTATAAATTCTCACCTCTTTTGGAGTTTTATGAGCTGCACAAAGAAAAATCCATTGTTCAGTTGCTGTCATCTGAGTACATGTATCTGGATGGCATTCACTCTGTTAAAAATAGTTACATTTCTTAATACATAAAATAAATGAAAAGTTTATCAATTGGGTTACTATGTTTCCAAGTAAAATTCTAAAATAATTAGAAATTTGGAATAAGTCTTTGTAAGCACATTAAGTTACAAAAACAGAAAAAAAATCCAGAATTTTCAAATAACTCAAATACCTGAAGTTTGACAGCAAGTCCATTTAGCTCAAGACAGAATTGCCTAAAAATGAAAATATATAAATGAAAAGTCTTATCTATTCTCCACATTATTTTTAGAATATTGAATGTCACAACAGAATTCCCACCAATACCATCCTTCCTCTCTAATCACCATTATCAACACCACCTGAGTTTACATAGCACATAGCCTACAAAGACATAGAGATTAATAAACAAAACCCCAAACTAACAACTCTCACAATGTGTTCGATATCACAGTTTAGTGAATTGATCAGTATTAACACTGGAAATTGGTACAATTTTTCTAAGAAGTAATTTGGAAATATTTACCAAGACACTTAGAAAGTATATATTTTTTGACACTGTCACTCTCCTAAGAATATATTCTAATGATATGATTATGAGTAGAACTGCATGCAGATACACTGTACAAAGATATTCACAGAAACTACATATACGTTAAAAAATTTTTTGGAACATTCTAAATGATGGAGAGTAGTAAAATGTTGGTATATACATAAACATACAAAGAATATATTTATATTCACAGTAAGATTCCAGTTATGTAAAAAATTGTGTGTATATACCTACGTACAGATACATAGAAAAAGACTAGACATTTTAAACTCCTATGTATTTTACAAGTTTTGTTCTGATTACGAACAACTTGCTCCTCATAAAAACTTCAAACATAACATAGAAGAAAAAAGTCCTCCATAATTATACCACCTCTTCCCAAACGATACTTATTGTTTACATGTCAATTTGAGTTTCTCTGCACTGAATCATACTGGGATCATATCATGTACAATGTTGTAGCTTGTTTTGTCACTTAATAGATCGTGGGCATTTTTTCATGATATACTTTCCTTCTAAAATTGCCAAACTGAGAATTGTAAAGCCTAGAACAATGCTTGGAACACAGTAAGTGCTAAAAAAATATATTTTTTAATAAATGAATAATGGAGGAAATTAGATAACACTGAGATTATCATTTTTAAACAGACTTGTTACTTGATAATGAAAAGGCAATTAATCCTCTATGTTGCAAAGATAACTTATTTTATAGCTGTCAAAATACTGAATATGTTCCCTCTAAAAATCCTATCAAATTAATCACTACTATGTTTCCCCATCAAAAAATGAGAACACTTTAGTTCTCTAAAAATGCAAAGCTAAAACCTATATAATTGGTAGATAAGAGTCTCAAACGAGGAAAAAAACCTCCACATATATGAAAGAAAAACTGTTTTTATTTTTTAAGTACATTATAACAGAAGAAAACAAAAAGACAAGAGTCAAATTTCCAGTTGTCTATAACTATATTTCCTTTCCAGATGCCCAATAATAATGCTGTTCTTAGATTACAAAAAATAACACTATTTCTGCATCACCACATCACCCTCTACTGGTTCCTATCTGGGCTGCGTGTTACATGTTTCTGAGTTGTTTTCCACTAAATGGTAATAAAGACGAATGGTGATAAACAAGTTTCTCATGTAATCCAATTCACTTATGGCCAATAACAAAATTAAGCTAACTGATTTGGCACTGTTTATTGGCACCATCTGTGGCAAATAGTGCAAACCTTACAGCTTCAAGTTAATTCAACACAGGGCTAACACATACAGTTGTGCAGCTGAAGACACAAGCCAGAGCTGAAATCCAGCCTATACTCTAGTCGCTAAGCCATGCATCCTAGCATGGGCTTGCATCCCCTCAGAGGAAGGGGCATCTTTTCCTAATTACAAAGACTCAGTATGGGCTAGTGGAAGATTTGACTGAATCTCCTATGATCCAATTCCCATTAACATCATAATATAATCAAATGCATTAACAATAACAGCAAATATTAAGCCTCAAATCAATAACATCAAGCACATGCCAAAAATCAAAAAGCTATTATTCTTGAAACTCTTTTTGGTCAACTATAAAGACGTATACACTATGATAAAGAAACAAAAAAATATACATGTGATGTATAATGTATAAATACAAAACCAAAAAAAANTGAGCTTTGGGGGTATTTTAAAATTAAGATACAATTCAAATACCATAAAATTCCTGTTTTAAAGTGCACAATTCAGTAGTTTTTAGTATATTCACAAAATTGTGCAACCATCATCAATTATATTCCAGATCGTTTTCATTACCCCAAAAAGAAACCCAGCACCAATTAGCAGTCTCTCCTCCCTCCTAACCCTACATAACAATTAATCTACTTTCTGTTTTCTATGGATTTGCCTATTCTTGATAGTTCCTAAAAATGGAATAATATGTGGTTTTTTGTGTGTCACTTAGCATGTTTTCCAGGCTCATATTTAGTGTAGCATAAATCAGTACTTCATCACTTTTTTTTTTAATTCAAAAATTGTTTTACTTTGTTTTTCATATGTACAAAAATGCTATGTTTCTCCCTCTATCGACTTTATTCTTTTTTATGACTGAATAATATTCCACTACATACATATACTACATTTTGTATCTTTACTACTCATCAGTTGATGAAAATTTGGTTGTTTCCATTTGGGGCTGCCATGAATAGTGTAACTGTGAGCATCAGTGTAAAAGTTTTGTATGGACATATGTTTTCATTTCTTATGGGTATATATATACCTAGGACTGGAATCACTAAGTGATATGGAAACTCTATGCTTATCAGTTTGAGGAACTGCCAAACTCTTTTCCAAAGTGGTCACAGTATCTTACAATCCCATCAGCAATGTATGAGGGGTTCCACTTTCTCCACATCCTGGCCAAAACTTGTTATTATCTTTTAGTCATTCTAGTGAGTGAAGTGTATGCCATTGTAGATGTGTCTTTTCTTTCCATTAAAAAAACTGTGGTGAGGGGTGGCCGAGTGGCTCAGTTGGTTAAGAGCATGAGCTCTGTTCAATTCCTACATGGGCCAGTGAGCTGCGCCCGAGCTGAGGTGCAGCTGAGCTGCCAACAGGTGGCAGGATGGCTCAGTTGGTTAGAGCACATGCTCTTAACAACAAGGTTGCCGTTTCGACTCCCACTTGGGATGGTGGGCTGCACCTCCGCACAACTAGATTGAAAAAACAGAGACTGGACTTGGAGCTGAGCTTGCGCCCTCCACAACTAAGACGGAAGGACAACAACTTGACTTGGAGTTGATGAGTCCTGGGAAAAGCACACTGTTCCCCAATAGAGTTAAAATTTAAAAAAAAAAAAAACTGTGGTGAAATATGTACAACATAAAATAAGTCATTTTTAGAATGTATAATTCAGTGGCATTAATTATATTCACTGCTATGCAACCAACACCATTGTCTGTTTCCAAAAGTTTTTCATCATCCTGAACAGAAACTATACCATCAAGCATTAGCTTCCTATACCCGCTATCCCCCCAGCCCCTGGCAACCTCTAATCTACTTTCTGTCTCTATGAATTTGCCCTTTCAAGATATTTCATATATGTAGAATCATACAATTGCTGTCCTTTTGCATATGGCTTATTTCACTCAGCATAATACCGTCAAGGTTCATCCATGTCATAGCATGTATCAAAACTCCATTCTTTTTTATGGCTGAAAATATTCCATTGTATGTATATGCCACATTTTGTTTATCTGTTCTCATTGTGGTTTTGATGTGCATTTACCTAATGACTAATGATGTGGAGCATCTTTTCATGTACTTATTGGCCATTTGTATGTCTTCTTTAAAGAAAAGTGTATTCAAATTTTTAAATTAGATTCTCTCTTAATTATTGAGTTGTTATAGTTCTTTATGTATTCTGGATACTAGAACCTTATCAAAGATATGATTTACAAAAATATTATCTCCCATTGTGTGGGTTATCTTTTCACTTTCTTGAGAGTGTCCTTTGAAGCTCAAACATTTTTAATTTTGATGAAATCTGAATTACCTATATTTCCTTCCACTGTTTGTGCTTTTGGTGTCACATATAAAAACTCATTGCCTAGTCCAAGGTCATGAATATTTATACTTATGTTTTTTCCCCAGAGTTTTATAATTTTAGAGGTTACACTTAGATTTCTGATCCATTTTGAGCTAATTTTTGTATATGGTGTGAGGTAGGCATGTAACTTCATTCTTTTGTATGTAGACATCCAGTTATCTCTAAATGAGGTATTCTACATTGTCTTTTTGTACTAGGTCTTTGAAATCGGCATGTATTTTACACTTAGAAGACATCTCACTTTGGATACCTACATTAAGTGCTCCATAGCCACATGTTGTTCATGGCTACTGTATCAGACCGTGTAACTTTAGAACTTTAATTGATTTCTGAATTTGGAGGGGGGTGGGGGGCAGAGTTGGGGAAGAATTTTGCCTTGTTTTAGCTGCTTCCCTCCACTTCCCTCCAATTATTTCTCAGTTAACTAATCCTAGTCTGCATCATTTGTAACAGCAAAAAGTTGGCAAAAGAGTAGATTACGAAATTGTAAGTAATGTGCTCACAAACTTTTATAAATTATATTTTCCTAAATGCATACTCATAATGCTACTGCAAGAGATCACAATCCACATGTGACTGAGAGGGCTCACAGACAATAACAAGTTATAACCTTTGTCAGTTACAATCACTATTTGTACAGTTAACTCTATTTGCTGCAATGCCTTTAATTTTCAAGGGCATTAAGTAAAGCAGTGGGTGCTGAGTACCTTGCCTGTTCCAATTCAGAATCTGCCCAGTGCTTTTAATTCATAAGAGCAACTTTCTTAGCTACTAAGTTGTCAGTTATTATTTCCTGACTATGTGCAATTATTTCAAAGAGCTCAATAAGTGTCCTTTCAAGATTTTCTTTTGTTTTTATGTTTACAGTAATTCATTCCGTGTAACTGCCACTTAGAAATTCTACTATCATCCTCCCTTTACACATAGACAATTCAAAGGAGCTTGTCTTCAGCAAGAATGTCGCAATTTTAAGACTTATTCACAGGATCTAATGCTGACGCTGATCCTATGTTGTATTTAATATCAATTAAGAAAAAAGTAGGGACTCGCCGAGTGGCTCAGTTGGTTAAGAGCTCGTTCAAGAGTGCGAGCTCT